TAAAAAAAAATTTATAAATTAAGATAATTAATAAGATAAATTACCGGTAATAAGATAATTAGATAAAATGCACTTGGAATGAGACAATGGAATTGTGTTTTCTTGTTTTAAATATAAATTGTCTTGTTCCATTGGCAAGATGTCTATTTTACCTCCTTAATCCAAGAACAAATGCACTAATTTCAAGAAGAAATTACTTATCTAGATTTCGATTTTTTTGCAGTGTAAATAAATGTTTCTTAAAATAAATGCATTTTTTTTCTTGAATTAACCAGTTAAGTGGGACAACTTGCCAATGGAATAAGACATTTTATGTTTAAAATAAGAAAAAGAAACAACTGCAGTGTCTTATTCCAAGAGCATACATAATATCTATCTTGTTTGCAGAGTAAAAATGTTCATTCCATAGACAAATCTTCTTATTTACATATTCAAATTAAGTGTAAATACACTTATTTTAAGAAATGTTTACTCAAATTTGCAGTAAGACTGCCTTGAAGGTTTTTGTGGATTTGTGCTAAAAAATTATCTGAATTGAACTGGTGTTGAATTGACATTGACCGATAAAACAATAATCTAACAGCCTCTTGCAGTATCAGCCCGCAGCCACAGCCCTTCAAAAGTGCCACAAATCTTCGCTTGGAAGCATTCAAGGAAAAATTAATCATTATTTTCAGCAGATCCCCAGCAGACTTTTTAAGGTTTTGTGGTGAAAAAATGATATTGTTTATAACTATCCAGATTGTATTATACTCAAAAATAATCTTAAACTGTTAAGCTTAGCTTCATCTGATCATTAAAACATCCCACTTTTTATGGTTAACATTTAATGGTTTTTTTGGAGGAGGAAAAACATTTAAATTCATCTTTGATTGACATAAAGATTATGGCATACCAGCAAACATTTTGAGATATGAACTTTCACCCAAATTGAAAGGCAACTGTTACTCTCACAGTAATCTGGACTGCTTAAAAACCTGGGCATCCTATTTTTTTTAAAACATTTTTATTTACTTTTAACAATAACTATGATTTCATAAATGTTTTGTATGTTTTAACTAGGATGAAGCCAATGTATACACTCTTCCTTCCAGCTTGTTATGAATCAGATTTTAGATTTGCTAATGAAACTAAGAGGGACAATGAAGAACAAATCAAAAAGCAATCCATGGTAACAAATCCACCCTGTTGACAGGGATGGTGCATGGCAACAGATTACATGTCAGGGATTAAAGTCATTTGATTTTGTGATGTGGCAAACAGAACAGGATGTCTCGGGTTAGCAGGAGCCAAGGGAGCTCATAATGACCATTACCTTTGAATGGATTACCTTCTATATGATGCCATCTGTGATCTGGATCACTTTATACTCCTCTCAGGGGGTATTAGTTTCTAAAGGCTGTCCAAAATTAGAAGACAGAAATGCAAATAAAGCAATAAATACAAATACTGTAAACTGATTGTGTGGATTCACAAAACAAATAAATAAAATAAACACAAGTAATTTTGTATTTTGAATTCAGTTCTAACATGATGCTGGTCCATCCTCAGTTTTACTGTAAAGCCCTTCCACAAGGTTTAGGGCTGCTTACGTAGGGACTTAAAATTTCTTCCAAGATCAAATTTGTGAGATCAGACACTGCAACGAATGTGTCTAAAAATGTAATAAGCCAGTTACAAGTGTCAACATGTTAAGATCAGATTCCATGTAGGCCAGTAACTTGCCCATAGCCTCTGAACAACTGACCTACAGTAAAGGGCCGATATGAAGGAAAATTTGCTTTAAGCTTTTCACTACGTAATGCTCATGAGTGCTGTTGTTTGTGCAGTAGCCCCTCCCTGTCCTGTGTAGTGGATGGAGAATAAATAAGTAAGAGTCTTCCCTAAAGGAAGTGCCTCCCTTAACTGCGCTGTGCTGGCACTGTACGCCAACTCCCCCTTTCTTCAATCAGGATGGCTGATGGGAGGCAGAGTTCAATGATAACAGCTCAGAGTTGAGACAAACGGGCTCTTTTAGGAGCTGCTCAGTGTTACAGTGAGTAGCATGGTTGCTTTGCAGGTTCTGGGTTCGATTCCCGGCCTGTGGTCTTTCTGCATGGAGTTTCCATGTTCTCCCTGAGTATTTGTGGGTTCTCTCCGGGTACTCTGGCAAAAACATGACTGTTAGGTTAATTGGCTTCTCTAAATTCTCCTTAGGCATGTGTGTGTGTGAATGGCTGTTTGTCTATGTGCTGCCCTGTGATGGACTGGCGACCTGTCCAGGGTGTAGACAGCTGGAGACGGCACCAGCACCCCTTGCAACCCCGCTTAAGATAAGCATGATGGAAAATGGATGAATGGATGGCTATTTTAGCAGCTGATCCGGACACAGCACCAACCTCTCAGTCGAAATTTTTCTGAAGGACTTAAGCAACAGTAACCTTAGGACACGCCTAGCTGTGTGTGTTCAGAGAGTTTTCAGTCAGTGATTTTGTCTCGCTATCCCGCTGCTCCTGAGTCCCGCCTACTGATGTAACATCATTGGATCCTATGCCCATAGCTCCAGGTCTGTCACTTTAAGATATAATATGATTGGCGGTGGCTATTCACTATGAACACAGTAGCTATGTGATTGGAGGAGAGACGACACACAGTAGCACTTATTTAATGTTAACCAACAGCTACTTATTTACATTTATTTCAAGGAAAAGCCCTCTGACATACAGAGCTTTTTAAACAAAAACAAAAAAAGTGAGTGTAAGCTGCTGGTGAATGTTCTCAGTCATGCAGGTCATAGTCATTCCAAAAAAAAATTTAATTAAAACAATCCACTGGACTTGGTTTCCAAGTGTGAAGACGTTTCAAATAGTCTATCAAAAAGAAGCCAAACGAGCCCCATTCCAAATGGGTGGACCCTTTCGTCTGTTCCAGTTTGCATGTTTTCCAAACAAAAACAAGGCTTTGTTGGGCTACTGCATAAAACCTCGAACTCAACGTTATTCCTGACATTTTTAAGTGAAAAAGCTTCCCAGATGGGAAGCGAAACGTCTTAAAACTTGGAAACCAAGTCTAGTGGGTTGTTTTAAATTGTTGTTGTTTTTTTTGGAAAACAGAGCGTAAATATCCTATATACTTGGCATTTCGTATTGTAATGCAATAAGTTCGACAGAACCAGGTGTTTAAATGGTGTGTTCTGTGCTAGTTTAAAATAAAGCAAATAATCTCAGCTCTTCACAGGACCAAGACTCAGAGTTACAGTCTGAAATTCATAAGACTGCAGAGGTTCTAGAAATCCCAAGTGGAAATCTTGCTGAGATTTTAAAGTCATGCAGAGGTGACTTGAAAATGTTTCACTGGCACCATACTAGTCGAAATCTTCATCTTATGTGTTTATAGGAATGCTCAGACACAGATTAAGGAAAAGCTGCAGATTTCAAGATGAAAAAGATTTACTGGGATATGCAATAAAATCTGCCAATTATTCATAACTTGCACACAGGTTTTTCTCAGTTATTTTTAATTAATGTTGCTGATGTTTATGAGCCATTACAAAAGAGCCATGAATATTTGCTATGAATATTTTAGTATTATTACTGTTGCATTCTGAGCAATATGAAAGCACTGACTAAATGTATGGCGTACACAGTTGTGTTTTGGCTCATTTGAAGCAAAGTACAAAAACCTAACAAAAGCCTTTGGATCCTGTAACTGCAGGTTAAAAAAATGGTTCATGAAAACATACTAAAGGCATTATTTCATCACATATTTGCCTTTAGTTGACTGAAGGGCTTAAAGAACACAGTATAGAGAATTCAATGCTGCATGCAAAACAAAAAACTGCTTTTAAACAGTCAAAGTAGGAAAGTTGAACTACTTTTGTGTCCGTCTTGAATGCAGATGTTGGGTACCATCCTGTTTCATGAATTTCTAACTTGTAATTCCAAAATCTAGATTTCAGTAGATAAATGTAACGCACCATAAGCACCAGACAGAAAGGTAAGGAGGTCTCTAAATCCAAATCAACTATCAATGGAAGTATCCAACTTTAAGTTTGGCTTAAGAGTATAAATTTAATTAATTCCTATGGACTTGCAACCATAGATCACACTTTCTAAATACTGACACTGCAAACTAGAAAATGCCTACTATTGGAAAGGTTAAGAAAATAAAGCTATTACCCTTTTCTGTCTGGATCAGCATAACCAGCTTCCTCCAATTTATGCATGCTTAAATAAAACATTAAGATATAATAATGACAGAACAAATCTGTTCCGGCTAGTGCAATGATGCCAATGAATTAACATATTTAGCCCCATATAAAAATATAAGGTAAAAAAAAAATGTTTTATAAGGTGAGTAAATATAAGTGTCTAAAACCAGATTGCAAAACATAATATGGTGTTTTCCTGTAGCCTGTGCCTTACCCATCCTCTTTTGCTCTATATTTTATGCCTAATGTGAGCAACCTCTATTTACCCCATGTATTCTACTACAGAATGCATTCGGGATTATGCAACAAACAGGAGATGGGAACAAGTTAAAGGGAAACATTTTAGTCTGAATTTCTTGGAAGCTTAAATGTTGCAAGTGATTTTGTTTGTCTCATCCTTTCTGTCAGCTTTAAGAGAGCGACTGTGCGTGGTTTTATTCCAGTGAAGAGGCATCACACTCTGCACAACACGCACCCTGGGTTTTAGTTATTTATTTGACTAATATTTGCTGTTCCATCACCTGTAGCTGTGGTGTCTGTGATTCAAACAGAACGTGGATTCTCATGTTTAATTCCTACGCCGCTAAGGTCCCAATGGATCGCGCGCAGAAGACGCAGCATCCGCACCGCGAGCAGACGCGCGTCGAGCCGCTCCGCATCCATTCGACAGGCTCCAGAAGGAAGAGCTGATTCTGCGGAGTAAGAAAAGAAGGAGGAGGAGAGAAAGAAGACGGAGGTGGAAATCCCGCGAGAGACAGAGAAAAAAAAAGAGAAGGGGGAAAGCAAAAAAAGAAAAAAAAAGAAACGCGCAGAGAAACACATTCAGAGCAGAAGCGCCGCACGTGAGGCGCGCGAGCGGAGAGGGGAGTAATCATTAATTTTGGAGGAGCTCCGCGGTGAATTTTCTGCTTTTTCCAGAGGGAGAAAAGGGAGTCTCCAAATCAGGTAAGGACCAACTAACAGCTCCGTCTAAAACCGTTACTCCCGCACGAGGAGAGAATTAACACCTGTAAGCATCCTCGGCCTGATTGATTCAATTAACGGCAGCTGCTGTCATGGTGCCACATTTCTACGACGGCCATAATGTGGGGTTTTATCTTTGAGGTAGTGTGCTTTTAAATAAAAAAAAGGTAGTTAATAGTTAATTTTACTTTTTAGTCTGGTAAAGGTTTAACTAACATATTCTATTTAGCAGATCTGCTCTTATGCAGATATGTTTTTTTGTTTGTTAATTTTCATTTTATTCAGGTTGTCTTCTGTATTTGCAGATGAATCTCTCAAGTATGGTACATATTTATTTTCTTAACAGATCTTCTGTATTCGATCTGATTAGTTTTTTTTTTAAGTGATGCTAGTGTTGCTGTGGATCTATCGCCGCTGATTGCGCGCGTTGTTGCAGTGGGGGATCAGAGAGCGAGCAAGAGAGAGAGAGGGGGGGGCTGCATAGGAGACGCTTTGGATGACTGGTGGGTGGTTTATGTATCCTGAATGTATTGACTAATGCTGAGGAGAAAAAAGAGGGGGTGTAAATGAAGTGCGCGCGCGCGCGTCAGTTAGTGTGTGAGGGCCGCAGAGTTTGTGTGGGTCTCTTTGCGCCCTGTGCTTTGCGCCTTGGTGCGTTTTCGGTGCGCATAAGGCATTGTGCGTTTGGAAAAAGAGAGGATGGCGCGATTCTTTGGTCCGTCATACAGTATAAGTGTTTATTTGTGAGTCTAACGTGAAGGAGGAAGAAATGGATAAGCTTTAAAGTGTTTATGCCCCCTATTGTTGGAGCGCAACAATGTTTCCTCTGTCTGTCCATCTCCATGAGGGAACAATCATCTTTAAATGTATGGAGAACCTGACTGCAGGGTCAGCCACCTACAAAGAGACAAATCTAAGAGATATCTATCTATCTATCTATCTATCTATCTATCTATCTATCTATCTATCTATCTATCTATCTATCTATCTATCTATCTATCTATCTATCTACAGTTGTTAAATGGTAGAATTGTTTTATTGGACAGTCTACATCAGGGGAGCTAAAGTCCAGTCAAGAGCTACTATCCAGCAACTTTTTGATGCGCCCCATTTTGAACACACCTGAATCAAATGAGTGGCTCCTTACCACACCTCTGCTGGGCTAAATGAGGGGTTTGAGTCTTTCGATTCAGGTGTGTTAGGGAAGAATTGCATCTAAAAGTTACAGGATGGTAGCTCTTAAGGACTGGACTGGAGCACCCCTGCTATACACAGCCCACTATGATTGAGATGTAAACATGTTTTTGCTTATACAGCAGATTTTTTCTGCGTAGCAAACTACAATTCAGCAACTATATCCAACACATGGCTATTAAGATGAAATGCTTATGCCATTACTTATACTGCTATAACGTTGTAATTGTTCAATAACATGGAGTCAAATTGTTTTTATTAGTTTTTTTTCAGTGATGATGCAAAAACTATGAAAACAATGTGGAATAATTGAGGATATTCTCAAATACCTAACTTTCCCCAGATCAGGGCTAGGCAAAGTACTGTAAGTTCTCAAGTGCCACTGATCAGTAGCTTTTGCATGCATCCCTGCTCCAACTAACCTGAAACAAAAGGCCAAATTGCCTCCTTAGTATTGTAAGTTAAGCAGAAGCCTGGCTATTAACTGTTTATTTGTTTTAGGTGTGTTGTAGAAATAATGCATACAAAAGTTGCAGGAGAGTGCCGCTTAAGGATCGACTGCCTACCCCTGGTCTGGTCTAGATGTTTCACTCTGGGATTTCAGTGTTTTTATGACCATGAAATCTTACTTGTCTCAAGTTCAATATTGCAGGATTTTGCTGTAACTATTTGATTTTACATTAACCATCAAATTCCACAGATTGGTACAATGAAAAAAAAAAGAATCACAAAATCAAAAAAACAAAAAACACAACTCACATTTTATTATAAAATTTTTTTATGCTTCATTGAGGTGTTTTTTTGGTGGTGGTTTTTTTTGTTCATATCAAAATTCAAAAACCCTTTTTTGCATCATGTGAGTTATGTGATCTGCAACTGGTCTTGGAAGTAGTTGGAGAATGATGGCGCCCACTAGAGATGTTTTTCTCACATCAGCTGCTGCCATGTTGTTTTCAACAGTTATAGAGTGAAAGAATGTATTCATGTTCCACTTTTTTTGTATTTATTATTTAATGGAAATACCACAATTTTCAAAATTGGCATTTTCAAAATTAGCAGAACATTGACATACTGTAGCTTTGTGCACATTTGTAATAGAACTGCAGCTACTGTTGCATGGAGAAGTGCTAAGTTCTACTGGCATCCATGGATCTGTGTGCTAGCTGCATCTTTCCTTCTGTGTGACAGCAAACCCACTTTTAAGGATACCAACCTAAAGGAATGGCTTGTACACTTTCATTGCTAGAAATTTTCAAATAGTCCTAAGTGTGTCACTTGTTTTGAAACTTATAAAATGTGTGTTTTTACTTTTTTGAATTTGATTATTGAAATCATTTTTGTAGGATAGTGAAAAGAGTTTGTGTGGATGGCTAGCTCCAATGGTAAGTCACCCATCCTGCAAACAGGAAACCTGGGTTTTTATTCCAGCTGGGGGGAATAAGCTGCCAGTTTGGATCCTTAGGAAAGACCCTTCATGCTATTGCTTGCTTTGGCAACAGCATGAAGGGTTTTTCATGCTGTTGCCTATTGGCCTATTGGTTAGAGCATTGCGCTTGGAATCAGGACCTCAGCTTCGATCAGAGCCTCAGCTTGGAATCCCTCCCACAGACTGCCACTCTTGGTCCCTGAGCAAGACCCTTAACCACCACACTGCTTCTTGGGTGCCACACACGGGCAGCCCACTGCATCCCTAAGGGGATGGGTTAAATCCAGAGAGTATTGACAATTGAAAAAAAGAAATATTGAGTTAGAACTGGATAAGTTTGATAAGACTTTAGTGTAAGTCTATAGATACCAAGATATTCAAATAACTTGCTCTCTTGAAATTTAGATATTTGCGTCACTCTAACCATTATAACTTTTGTGGGGGTTTCTTATGACCACCAACAAATTTTTAAATTACCTTTATTTGCATTGCTTGTATAAAACTGTCAGAACCTTCTTTCTAGCCAGCTGATCAGCAGTGTGCAGGAATTGCTGTAGGATGGTCATCATGCCATGATTTTTTGTGCCATACAGTTGGAGTAAACATTATTAGTTTTTGCAAGGGTTAGAACAGAAGGCATGGAAAGACATAAGAAGTTAAAAAAATGCATAAAATATGAAAGAAACACAAAGTGGGATAAAGAAGCTCTTTGAGAGAAAGCACTGACATCAATGTTTGTTTAAATAAGGGATTTGTACGAAAGCTTTGGCTTAGTGCCGTGATGTGCAGCGAGAAGCAAGAATTCCACACTAAGAGCGATGTTTGACTGCAGGGGTAAATGGATCATATTTGAGTCTTGTCTCAGGATGATAGATTTAAAACTGTCAGCTAGGAAGCATAAAGGCTTCAGACTAGTTTTCAGCATTCAGGCCTATTTTCACCGGTTTGGACGGGAGACGTCAGTCCTGTGAGGGATGCTTCTGCAGCTGCCTGCAGCTTGACTTAATCTGTGCTGCTGCACTGCTGAACATTAACAGCAGATGGCTGTGACTTCACTGAGAATCTGAAATGTAGGAATGTGAAATAGGAGCACCTGGAGCCCAGTGAATTTGTGGGCAGCCTGCACATGGCCTGTAAACAACCAACATATAAGATGCCCTGATGAATAACTTCAGATCTTCCTTCTGGTTATTTTGCTTTGTCTGGGTTTTGTGTGTTTCCTCAGAAAAGTGTAAAAGCCACAGCTAAGATGCTTAAGCCATTCTTCCTTACTTGAGATGTGGATTTAAAGGAGAGATATGTGGTTAAATTGGTCCAACCATGATGCAATGCTGTGTAACCGACTGCTCTCCTGTTGAGAAACGTATCTCATCTTTTATATATGATGATAATCTTCTCATGTTTTCTTGGTACAAATAGAAAGACTCCCAACTGCGTACACCTCATGGGACAGGTTTATAGACAACAGGAACAACTGTGATTGGGTCATGGTTTCTTTAAAAAAAAAATAATTCTTTTTTGGTTTATTTTTTCAGTCAAAAAATCAAGCTGGAAATTCAGATACTGCAACGTTTTACTTAGAATCGTGCATTTTCATCAATTTCCCAACATCTTTGCCTGATGATGAAATTTGTGTACAAGAATTTAATACATGAATGGAGTAAATTAGAAAATTCAGAGTAGAATACTAGAATCAAAACGCAGCGAGAATCGAACAAGGCCTGATAAAACATCCCCTCTAATTTGAAACTATTTTTCTTTTTTATATTCAATCCAATATTCTAAAAATTGTATAACATCTTCTGTCAGGGAGGAGGTGGACAGCAGCAATAGGGAGTCAGCAGGAACCTTCAGGTACAATTAGAGCATTAAACTCTTATCTTATTCAGCTCTGCATCATCAAAAGGATCTGGATCTGGATGACGTCTCTTTTTTGTAATGATCCCAGGGAAAGGTGTGTGAGGAATAACCGCAGCATTGTAAGAGATTCAACAGTAATTACGTAGGATACAAAAATAAACATTATGAGGTGGTGTACACAGGCTAAATACTGTATAAGGTAATACTGGTTGAAAGTTGTATAGTTTTCACAAAAGAGAGAGAAAATTTGGAACCAATACTTAGCCCTTTCCTGTTTAGAGGAGAAGGACCCTGAGGTTGTGAGGTGAGGCATTGTGGTTAATTTGACCTACTGTCTCATACCAGATGGAATAAACCTTCCTGTTTATCACACTCTGTATTTTATTTCCCAACCTTTCAGGCTAGAAAAGTATATAGTTCTGGTTAGAGATTTGTTTGATGATCTGGATTCTAGTCAGGCAGCACCTTTGTGTCATCTTGCATAAAACGAAGTGGTGACCCG